GCAGCACAGACACAAAAACAAGTGGGTATAAACTAGCTAAGAGAAAGCTTTTTATTTGGATTTCTAGCTATCAGCAGGGTGAGGACCTAGAACAGGCTTCCAGTACCAAAGCAGGAAAAGAATCTAAATATAAGGCTGGATAAACATAGTGTGTGGTGCCTGTGATGGGACTGAGTGGGATGTGATGATCTAGGGGGTCTCCTCCAGACTTACTTTAAGTACATAAATCACAGCCATACGTTGTCCCACTTTGAAGCAAAAGTCAGTTAGTTGGGCTGGCACACTTGAGGCTTTACTCTCCATAGGAACCGTTTATATTATTATTTCTACAAGTTAACATTTTTTTTGCTATTTATCAAAGCTGCTGGTTTTTGAACCCGATTCCACAGCATGTAACCATCTCATTGCGTGCAGAATGGAGCAACACATACACAGAGCTATGAACATCTTTCCAGCCTTGACCACAGAAGAGACCTCCATGCTTCTGTGTGTCCATGCATCCCTGTTTTGAGGGACAAGATACTTCAAGTTCTTTCCACTTTGGAGGCAATAGTGAAAGACAGTAGTGTTTGCATTCAGTACTACTCTGATCTACAGGCTCTCTTTCTTTTATTTCCATGCTTCACAGTGCACTTTCAGTAGTGATCATCTTGCTGTGCCTTCTCCCTCCAGCATCCAACACACCTTGTACCTGCGTGCAGACACCATCCCCTCCTACAAGCATTTTCATGGTGCAGGAGATGAGAACCATCTGTGCCATCAGGAAGAGCATCTCTTCACTGCCCATACAGCGTGCCCAGCCCTCGCTCAGATCCTTAGGACAGGGTAGAAAGGAAGGGCAGGCCAACCACAGCTGGAGCAGAGAGCAGAGCAGGAGAGTAACCAGAACATTAGAAACACATTTGCAGGAGCAGACGTTTCACAGCAGAATAGTTTTGAACTGTTGGTAACTATTGTGAGTGGGCCTAGCAAAAGGCATCACCTTGTCTCCCCCTGAGCACTACTGAAACTGTCACAGATGGGATAAAATTTGAGGGAGAAAATGGAATGGGAAAAAGGCTGAGTCAGTGGAATTGCCTCTAGCTGCAATTCCACTATACACAAGCTTCCCTGGTGATGCTCAGGTACTCCTTGAGAAGTTCCTCCTGTTCCACCAATCAACATGTCAACCATCTCTCAAGCACAAAGCTTAGCAGTAATAACCAGGCATGAGAGTTTCTGCTTGACACAGTACTTACTGAGCACTAACATTTATTTAAAGCATTTTGCCATGGCTACACATTAACAAATCTATATACTTCGAAGCCTCCGAATAAAACCATATTTCAGGTGGGTACATATCCTGTTTGCATGAAACCCTACTGAAGACCTGATTTGTGCAAAATGAATTATATTCCCAAGGTCCTGTATTTAAAGCGATTAATTCTAACATTAAAGACAAATAAAGTAATGAATAAAGTTCACCAGCTACTAAAATCATACAGCAAGATCTTATTCTGATGAAATTAGCTGTATAAATGGAATTTGTCACCTATACATTGAAACTAATGAAAATTAAGCTAACAGGGCAAAAGCAGCTTTTTATGTCAGTCTGGATTTTTCAGAAAGGATGAGAGTGGCACAACCTTGACTCTGCCAGTTTATAAAACAGCCACAAAGCATTCTGTGGCCTCCCAGTCCACATTGGCATAATTTGTTCTATGAATAGAAATCAAGTATTTTCTAAACTTCACCGGGCTCATTCATGCATCCTGTGCTGTAGAGGCTTTGGCATCTCTAACACACACACAAAATCTCTTTGGAAGACTGAGTTATGTGAAGAATGCTGTAATGTACAGTGTTGTTACTGCTGTCACCAAACTTTATCACTCCCTGGATGCAACACACCAGATTTCCTTGGAGAGCAGTTTAAGTAATTTAGAGCATAGAAACAAACATCTCTTCTCCTCCTTTTCCTCCCTCTCAGATGGTTGAAACAAGCCCCTTTTATTGTTTCCAACAGATTTCCAGCAATGGGAAATGCCCAACATCTGCTCAGCAATAACAAGATCAACAGCCATACCCGATTTGAGGCCACAGCCTGAAAAAGCCGCACCCTTCTCCCCCAAACAGGTTTTGCAAACTGCCCTTTTGTTTCCAAAATATCCTCCTTTTCCTCCCTCTCAGATGGTTGAAACAAGCCCCTTTTATTGTTTCCAACAGATTTCCAGCAATGGGAAATGCCCAACATCTGCTCAGCAATAACAAGATCAACAGCCATACCCGATTTGAGGCCACAGCCTGAAAAAGCCGCACCCTTCTCCCCCAAACAGGTTTTGCAAACTGCCCTTTTGTTTCCAAAATAGTTTT